AAAGAGTGTTGAGGGCTTGGCAATAACACTTGTAGACCACACAATGTTTTAAACTAAGAAAATGGATCTTCCTTACTGTACATCAACAAAAATCAGGGACTTAATTCTCAGATTCTCCTCCTGTGCAGAGCATGTATGAGATGCTGTGTAAAATGTCTCGACATGGTGGTGTTATGCTTAAGAATTTAGCCTAATAGACAGATACTATTCCTACCCTAATGTGTTCATGCTAATATACATACGTACAGAGCATCCTTTTTCAGTAAAATGCATCAGCGGTATGCAAAATACCATTAGTCTTCCCTGAAGTGAGAACTACAATCCTCTTAAAAATATTGTATTTTCTAAAAAAAATCCTGTAACTCAAACCTGAACCCTTAATCTCTAAAGCTGCCTATGCACTCTTTCTTCCAGAAGGGGGCACAATGTTCAGAAGAAATGCAGATTCCCTGCTGGCCTTGTAAGGTCTTCTTAAAACATCCCTTCTGAAATAATGGCCAGTCCCCTTTACAAAGTCTGATAATATGGAAAGGTGTAAGTGTGCATTTGACAGGCCCACTTTTTGGGGCACTTGGGTAGCCTTTACATAATCTTTTTTTCAAAGTATGCATATCCTGATATTTATCACATTTTAGCCAAACTGTGTCCCACAGTATCACAGTGTGACTTTTCCTACTTAATATTCTGCAAAACCATTTTCTACTTAAATTTTTCTCATAGCTTTTAGATATCAGAAAAGCATAATTCCCTCCCCAGGGGTACACTTGGCAAGTGGTTCATTAAAAATACATACTTTGATTGTAGTAAGCAATCCTTGGCAACAAAAATATGTATTAAGATTCAACAAGCCCATTTAGTGTTGCAATTTAAAATATTAAACTTACTAAACTTTCGTTTTCTGGACTTTGGGAAATGCAATACTTGGATACGGGAGTGGTAGAAGTACAGATAGGGAAACATACAGTATGTCTCCAGAGTCTGGTTTATCATGGGCAACTGGTGCCACCTTAGTTGGAGGGGCACATGCCCCCCACTGTGACCTGGGGCGGGGAGGGGTCACCCAGCAGCCAATCTTGCCAACCAGGGGAGAGAGGGTCCCCCCGCAACAAAACTTACTGACTGGCGAGTGGCCACAGTGCTCCCGGAAGTGGCCGCGGTGCTTCCAGAAGCGGCTCTGACCTACATCCAGTGCTCCCACTCCCCAGCCCGGGGGGGTATATGCACCCCCTGAGAGCGCTGGTGCACCCCCTGACTGGCCATGCTCCCGCCTGCCCCCCTGCCCATCACCTAACAAGGGAGAACGGCCAGTCATGGGGTGCACCAGCGCTCTAAGGGGGTGCACGTGCATCCCCATGCACCCCCTACGCATCGCCACTGGTTTATAGAAATATGGCTCTTTTGGGAATTCTAAATGTGTATATTCTGTTATAAAATAACTTACGTATTTATTGTCTGGTGCACTAAAATGCTTGGTTGTTATAACCAGTGTGTGTGTGTGTGTGTGTGTAATGCCCACTGGGATATGTTGATTCCATCTCCTCCTAGTGACTGATCAGCATAAGAGTTTTACAAGTCAGCTACTGGTTCCATTTAGAGCAGGAGCTCCTCTGGTGACAGGGCAAGCAGCATCAAGGAGCTGCATGGGTTAATGCAGCTGTCATCACCCCCACTGCTAACATGCATCCCCAACAAACTCCATGCCCCATATTTCAGTTGCAGGCCTTGCACCTGTTTGCCCACCACTGAATTCTCAGCCTCTCCAGGAGCTCCTTGAGCCATATGACACAGTTTTGTGGGCCACATCTTGCCCACAGGCTATATTTTGGATATCACTGATCTACAGCAGCCTGCAGAGCTGTTCTGTCCAGCCCACCAGGCTATCAGCAGGCCACTGGAAGTTGGAGACTGGGGATGTGGGTATGGCCTGCCTTTGGCCCTTGTGGACATGGCAGTTGGTGGCAGGAAGACAAACAAGGGCTGATATAGCCCCAGGTACCCTCCAGATGTTTTGCGTGTTGCCACTGCCACAGCCCCAACTCCTCAGCTGCTAACCCTGTCATTACCCCATGCTGTAACCACCACTGCCACCTCTACCTCATGACCTGTGCTAGAGCTAAAGATGCCACCATGGCACATGGCATGTAGCAGCAACAGCAGCTTCTGCTCCAG